ATTACGGATTGAAAAGTTTTCTATGAAAATTTAATTATAGTATCGTTTTAAATTAAAAAGTTCAATTTAAAAAATTTCTTTGTAGATTTTTTTTTAAAATATTGGAATAGTTTTTGAAAGATGTTGCATAAAATTAAAGCATTTATTTTAATCAAATCTTGGGTATGAATATAAAATTAATTGAAAAGTAGAACAAGAATTTTATATAAGTTTTTAGTATAAACTTTATTTGTGTGCCTATAGAAACCGTATGTACAATTTAAATATTAAAACAATTCCAAAATGAAACTGGTTAAAACCATTTAGTCCAAACTAATAGTTCCAGTAGCAATTAGCCCTCTCGAAAAGAGTTGTGAAGGAATATTCCAATAAATCGCTTTATACTATAGGTTTGGTTCTTTGCAGCGTTGTTCTTTAAGCTTAGAAACGTTGTCTTTAAAACGTGCTGGCCAAATAAATTTTTGAACTTTTTATTTTACTACTTTTTAATTTTTGAACTATGGCTTCCCTTATTGTATGCAATGTGGCCAGTTAACAGTCTAGAATTTAATTTTCTTCAAACAAAATTTTTTTCTATTGTCAAATTTTCGTTTGTCAAATCAAATTAATTTATGAAAACCTCCGAGCAAGAAGTAAAGGTAAATGTCTTTTGATCATAAAACATAATTGAATTTTTTAAATTACTTTATTAACAGCACAATTTTAGCATAATGTTACTTTAAGTTCTTTTTTACTGTTCTACATAGAGATATGCAATTAAAGAACACTTTATGACGTGATATTAAGAGATGATTGTTGTGAGAATTTATACACTCAATTTCATTTTGCATCTATGCTGAATATTAGACGACGATTCCAAGAAGAGAATTAAAATTTTACAATTGATTTGCTGATTATACCCGTACGAATGTATGTTCGATTATGTTATATTGTACTAAATTTGCCTTACCGCTTGTAACGCTAAGAAATAATGGTCTGAGATATAGACTCAAGTGTATGTTTTTGATCACCGACAAATTCTGAGTCGATTTAGCTTTGTCTGTCCCAGCGATAACTCAGAAACTAATTGAGCTAAGCTCACCAAATTTTTACAAATGATTTATTGTAGTAAGTGCCAGCATCCTATATAAATTGGACATAATCGGATTACCGGCTCGTGTAGCTGCCATACAACTTCAAAAGTTACTTGGCATTATCTCAAAAATTATTGGAATTATAGTATAGAAAATAATTTCGTGAAAACAAGTGCGTTATTAGGACTGTTATGTGTGATAAAAATCATTAAAATTTTTTAGCTCATTGTGGTAGCAGCCATATAACTTCAATAGTAGTTTGGCCATATCTTAGTAAATATTGAAAACACTAGTATACATTGAAAATAGTACTGAAATTTTGCATAAATTAATATGGCAATACGGCAACTTAAAGTCATAGTCTATCTCATCGTCAGCTATGGCATATTTATTCGCAAATAGGATAACAAATTCGTACGAGTATCACAAATATGGCAATACGGCAACTTAAAGTCATAGTCTATCTCATCGTCAGCTATGGCATATTTATTTCGCAACTCTATTTTTGTTCGATTTTGCTATAGAATTTTTAAATAGTATTCAAATCATTAACACTGGGCGGGTTTCACAATGGTAATAATTATAATATGATTACATATTAAATGAAACTGTTAAGGAAATACATAAATATTTTATTTCAAAAAAACGGAACTCTTAAGCATTTTCCTGTATTGGCTTATATCACAACTGTTTGTAAAACACCGAAATGTGTCATAAGAAATTTATTAATAATTGCTTTTTAAATTGTAGTTTTTATTTATTTTTCCTCTTATTTTTCCTAACCCTATTTTTATCCTTTTCAAGGAAATGAAATTTTTGATTCCATATATGTATAAGATTTTTTTAAGAGATTTTTCAGAAATGTGAATAAAGTAGTACACAATTAAAATAAAATGTAATAGTTTATTAAAAAGGGATTTATTTAAGTTTCAAATATCATAGAAAAATTTCTAAAATGAAAAATTTTAATTCATAAATAATACTAGCAAATCTTTGAAGAGAAAAACTTAGTTTAAGTTTGTGGTCAAAAGAAAATTTTTAAGTATGTTCAAAAATGTTGGAATTTTCATGTGAGAAAATGTAAAATTACAATTAAATTTTAAAATTTATAAAACTAGAATAAAGTAATAAGAAACTTTTGTAAATTAAGATTTTTATCCAAGATATTTAAGGATATTGGGGAGCATTTGAGAGACAAATATTTTAATGATGTAGTGACAAACTTCAGTAAAACAGAAAATTTATACATAGTAGCTATTAGTATAAAAATATTAAAAATATTATTTTGATATTTGACCCAAGTATGTGATTCAGTACAAGTGTAAAAATTTTATTCCTATAGTAAGCTTAAATTGCTTCTTTAATTGCCAATAATTTATTTATTTGAAATTTTGTTAAGCGACAAGCTTCTTGTGATACTTATCTCAATAATTTAGAGACAGATTTCCCGTTGCAGAAATATATCACTAGGTCACCTAGGTACGCATTGGTGCGGCCGGATCTCTCTCTTCTACTTCATTAGAATCAGCTTAAGTTTCTGTGAAACCGGATAAGCCATCTTGAAATCTTTGAAATTGATTTATAAAATATTTTCATTGTGAACAAGAAGATGATCTCAGAAGGTAATATTGAATTTTTGAACTACAAGTCACAGCAACAAAAGATAGAGTGGAAATAATTTTATAAAAAGAGACTGAATGAAAACAGGTACAGTGATATGCAACAAGAAGATATTGAGGCGATTATTCTGAAGTGGCAGAATAAATACAAAACAACTCCATAGGAGAATGAAAAACGCAAACAAATATTACCATACAACATAGTGGCAAAGTTCAACACCTCAAATAATGCGAAACATAATGCACGGCTAGATTCTCATTAGGTTTATAGGTAATTTAGTTAGTAGTTATCTAAACCACAAAGGGTTTGTAAAGTATATCGCTATATTAAAGACCGTTGCCTCACCCCATCTTTATAAAAAATTTCATGCAGCAGTCAACATGAGCACAAAATAATATAGTAGTTTAGTTTTGCATATCGGAAGTTGATGATTGTGCTTTCCTTATTTCACTAATTCCGCCAGTGAATGCAAATAATTTCTAAGTTAACATCTGTCCCGTAAAAATTTTTAATGACTTTTCGTATTATGAGGTAATATCAACTATTTTTGAGTCATACAGTGGAATATTTCACGCCTTATTTTAGATAATTCTAAAAATTTAAAATACATAAGAGTATAACAGCAATATTAAAGCAAATTGTAGTATGAAATTATGCATAGCAGTGCATTCAAGGTAAGATGTAAGTTACACTGAAATCTTATAATATGGCGAAGTTTTCTTAAAAGGCACAGTAATAAAGTTTTTTTTATAGGGCTGAGAAATTTAAGATTTTTTTTACATCTTTCTTCTCAAACAACTTTCTTACATTTTGTAAATTTATGTACACATACAAATACACATACAATAGATTTTTATAGGAATATTTTTTTTTTTTGAAAAAATAAATTTCTTTCACAGTTACTTTCACATAAAGTTACTTAAGATACGAGAATTAACTAACTTAGTTTTTTTGAATATGCAATAAACCGATTCATATGGGATGAGGAGGACTTAATGTTTTTATACTCCTGTATAGGAATTTCAGTTATTTACTTAGTAAAATGTAAGTTGAAAAAATAATATACTGGGAAAAAGAAAATCGGAAGAATCAGAAGTAACAAATTTAGGAAACCTAAATAAGGATTTTTTTTTTGTAAAATTCTTGCAATATTTGCTCTCTTTATGGCTGATTTATTTTATTTTTGTTTAAGCAGATTTTTGTTTTTGCTATTTAGAATACCAGAATGTCTTTATTTTTCCTTATTTTGTTAGGATAGGTATATCATTCGAAAAATAAGAGGCTATTTTAAGGAATTTTTCAAATATATTGAAAATGTTAAAATATCTACATAAAATTATTTAGTTCAAATTGTAAATTGATGTCCTTTTTTCCTTTTTTGCTGTGATGAAATTTTCATCTTAAAATTTGGAATTTTTCGATATTGAATATTTTTATTGCGATATTTTGTTTAAGTTGCTTTGTTTAATACATGAATAGGGTTAAAGTTGTTTAATAACTTAATGTTCATTGAATGGAACAAGGCAAAGAAATGAGAGAGCAAGGAAAAAAGTATTTGTTTTGAATTTTTCTTGCTAACTAAAAGAATTTTTGGGAACAAATTCTTCAAATTGTGAATCCGTTTAAAATCTAATAAAAATCATAAGGGTTAGTCTATGTATATTATTCAAATATATTAAAATAGTGTGATGGTAGACTATAATAATTAAAGGTGGATTAAAGTATAGAGCTTCGAATATTACTGCAAGGCTCACTTTGCAAGGCAAGTCACGAAAAGGTTCTATTTTGTCCGTATGTAAGCAATTAGCAAGTACCTGAACTAAAGCATTTAAATTTTAAACCTGTTTAAATTTCCCTGCAAGCAATTCAACTCTCTTATGAGAACGGAATGGATCGAAAACTTACATATTGTGAATAATCATTTTAATAAATGTGACACCGTTTATATGACTTCGTATGTATAGGTATATCGGTAAAATTTTACGAAGATCACATGTTTTTATAAGTTATATCACTGAACCATTTTAATATATATAGTAGCGCTAAAGGTGTTAGTGAAGAAAGACACTTTCCTTTCAGTGAGTTGAACATTTTACAGTAAAAATTATTCTGTTATAAATCTCTCAAAATACTTTAGTTATCTGAATACACGCATAGTAAGTTTTTAAGCAATCAGAGAGAGAATATTAATTTTCTCATTAATCTCAGATCATAGCCATATTTTTTAAGTCAATTTGACATTTTTAATAATTTAAAAGAAATTTGAAATGATTATTGAACAGTAAACTCAATTCCATATCTTTTTAGTTAAAACTAAACCTGGAAAGGAGAACCTGGGTATGCCTTTAAGCACCCACAGGCTTCTGCTACGCAATGCAACAGTAGAACGTATCAACTTCAGATGGGTGAATGGAACAACATGTAACGCGACAAGTAAGTTGTGGCCAAAACTAGACTTACGTGGCACAAGGGATCTGATACCTCTCCGGTGAGAGGATATTGGCGCAGTGATAGGGGTTTTAACTGAACACTGTCTGATCATTATTCTACAAAAATTGTTTGCGATCACGCCAATCACAAACAATCTCTGTAGAAGCTGTTGTCACGATGATCCAGCTGCTATGCTCGTGTCCGACGTTGGCGGATTCTAGGTAAAGCTTTCTTGGATCCTACTTTTTTCAGCGGACTACGGACTTAGCAAATATAAATGCAAGGTGCCTTGGCCGGTTTCTTAGGAAGTCAGGCTGGTTCTAATGAAGGAGATGGGAAAGATCCGGCTGCAACACAACAAAGGTGGCCTAAGTGCACTCTTCGGGACGTCATGCAACCTGAAATAACCTAACCTATTTAAAAATAAAATTATTTGGCGTCCTGTTAAGAACGTGTTTATTACTCGTAATGTCATAATGCTCTTATATTTCTTTTAAGGTTGAAACAATAAATGAATATAGAATCGTATAATAATTTTGATTTTTATTAATAATATAAAGTTGCCTAAAATATTCAATACATGTTCTTATAAATTTTAAGTTATTTTTACTAACGAATTGTAAATATACACAGAAATAAGCCACCAAACCACCATGTGACATAGAGATGATATTATTAAAAATGTATGCAAAACAATTTTAGAGTAAATATTCAAAGCAATATTTTTATAGTTCAAAAATTTTAAGAAAAAATTCGGTGAATTTTAAACTTTTCTATTTGTTTTTCATTTCAATTGATTTGATGATTTGAAGTTATTGAGGTTGATGTGGGGTTATTTGAGGTTGCGGTATGTACTGTGTAGTTTGCATATATTTATACAATTTAACGAATTTATAACCCATATTACATTCTTTCGTTATGTAAATAAATTTTATTGAAAAATATATGTACACACAATTTTGGCAATTTTGACAATTTATTTTGATTATGAATATATGATTAGTAAATTAGGTGTAAAACAAAATAAATATTTGTTTCAAAAAACATAACCAATAATAAATGCTAATGTAATTTTTAGGTTTCTGTTAGTTCTTTTTTCTGTTATACAAGTATACGCTAAACAAATTTTATTTATTATTTTATTGTTTTTGATTTTTAATTAAATTTCAAATTTTATCAAAAAATTTTGCAATTTAATTTTTTTAACAAATAATCCTCATTAGATATATATTTATGTGGAAGGACATTATGAGGTTGCTTTTCTGTAAAATTTAAAAACACAATGTAAGCGAAATAGAACTCAATCGTATATTTAAGTGCTCGTTAAGGTACTGATTTAATCGCACACGCACTATGGCAATTTATATAAAATGGCTATCAATAAATTGATGGAATAGCTTAACACGGATAATGTGCTCCATAAAATATTACGACACCATAAAGCCTTAAGACCAAGTTATTATAAGGCAATAATAAATGACTATAAGGTATTAAAAATAAAGATGTCGGGACGAAGTTAGTTTTTCGAATTATTGGTGTGTATCAATCATCATGAGTTGTCCTATTAAATAAGAAGAGAGAGAGGGAAGTCGGAGAGGGCGCAGCGTATGGCGTGTGTTGGGGTGACAGGTACATTGCGTACTACACCCACTTTGGGTTTGGAGGTTATTCTCGACCTGGATCCGGTGGGTGAGCAGGTGAAGGCGGCGGCTGCGAAGAGTGCCTTGAGGTTACAGGCGATGGGCATACTTAAAAGCAGGGAATACACACACAGTAGAATTCTGGGAGAATATGGAATGAGGCCTATGGACATTAGGCCTGATTTTGTGGTGCCATATTTTGTTCTTGCGAGGGCTGGGATTGGCGGAGATGCTGACGTGGTAGACGCGTCGGTTCGTTTGCCGCTGAGGGCTTATTTTGCCGTCATAGATGGTGAGTGATAAGAGGAGGAGCGGGGTCTTGTGGGCGGAGGCTCACACGTGTAGGGTGACCAGAGCAATGTGGCCTATCAGGAACGAAAGGAGGACGCGGATGCTGTTGAGATATAATAGGGCCGATCTTAGCACATAGGTTGGGGTTCTGACGGGGCATTGCCTTTTGAGGAAAACCGCATTTTGAGGTTTTGCTAATGTAGAGCATGTCCTCTGTGCCTGTCTGTTTCTGATGTGGAAGAGAAGGCGTATCTTGGGGGCTTATTTTTACGATGACCTGGGGGACCTTTCCGAGATGTTTCTTGAGCGGCTTTTGGACTTCGCCAGTTTGGATAGGGGGTCTTACGTGTCGAACTGCATGGAGGTTGTTGGATGTTTCTGGGGGTTGCCGATGGGCCTTTTTCTGTTGGCCTAGTGCATGGGCTTTGCGCGGGTGTATGGGTGGAGCCCCCTCTCTTACTTACTTAAATAAGGATATTTAATAATTCACGTTACATACTTGGAAACAGATGGGAGTATTTTGTAAATGGAACGCTCTTCTGTCCGATACGGCAGAACGAGAATATCTGCCCGATCAAAAAAAAAAAAGAAATGGCGAAGAAAGATTTCACTAAAACAAGTTGTTAAATAAAAACCATAACAGGCAATCACTCTGTGAGATTGTAAAGTTTTTAAGATATTTTCATAAGGCGAAAACCTAAGCGGATCAAAGTAACTCAGGCAACACAATGCAAAAGAAATCTCTTTTTAGTGGTCTCCTAGAAATATTTATAGTACGCGATGAAGTGTCAAAATCTGACATAGGTATATGCCTAGCGGAATAAGTACGTAAGATGTTTTTCAATACCAAATAATCTGCAGGATTAAAAATCCATTATCGATCCAATCAACTGCCCTCTTTTATTCGCTTGTTTATTAAAAAATTTATACACTTGGGTGTTTATTAAAAAGCAAACGTTACTTGTTCAAATCGGTCGTGTTTTTGTCTATTTTATAAAAACTGTATTTTGAGATAAAAATTGTATAATTTAACAGTATTAGACAAAACCGCAATTTTTTTAGAATGTTCTCTCATTTAGAATTGCTTTACTCCTCCTCTATCACTTTAAGTCGATTTAAACTAAAAATATAACAGTTTCATACCTTAAAATTTAGATGTTTCATTAACATTCTTTAATTAATGACGCACTGCCTAAATCCCACTCCCCGTTCTTACATTCAGTCGAACTACTTTTGTTTTTTTTTTTTAATTTAAATTAAAAATTAATGAAAAAATTATTTCACATACATTTTAACTAAAATATTCTACACATGCTCTAAAAAAATGGATCCATGTTTAGCATAACAGTATCTGAGTTATTCAAGTTTAACGCAGTGTTACCTAATAATATTGTTTTAAATTTAGACGGTTTAATGTTTGACATTTCAAGAATAAAAGTTAAACAAACAATTTATTGGGTAGGTTAGGAGGGTTTGGTTATTCATAAAAAAAAAATTTTAATTAACTTTTTCATCATTATTCATCGTATGTCATATCATATCCCGTTTAATATATTGACATTTCTTAGCTTCTAAAAAGAAAATAAATTTTCATTTTCCTCGTTAAAAGTTGATGCTTTTTTTTTCTTTCTACTTCCTTTATCGTTTCATTTTTTTTTTCTTCATTTTGAAACAAAATTCTCGAAGGATACAAGGAATCAGATGAAAAAGAAATAGATTGAAAGTGAAACATTAATTTTATTGTGTATGTGTTTTTGTTATATTCCGTTATATTGTTGACATATTGTTATTTACTTCTGTCAACTAATTTTAATATGAAAAATTATTTTCAGTTATTTTTTTTGTTTTTCATATTTTTTCCTTTCGTTTTTGTTTTTGTTAAATGATTCAAGAAAAAAAAAAACAACTGAAAAAAATCATTCGGTAATAAATGTTTTTAATACATTTTCACATACACATATGAGTAAGAAGATATGCTCCCCCCCCTCCCTCTTTTTTATATGTATACATGTAAATAAATTATTTTTTTTTGCTTCTGTTGCTTGTCTCATGTACACATTTTTCATAATCGTATGTAGATATATGATTGTAGAAAGAATATTAATTTGTAAATCAAGTAACGTGTTTACAATTTCTTTAAGAGTTGCCAAATAAAATAGGTTAGTAATTCTTAACTCCATCAGAAGATGACACGAGCGAGTAATAGCATGTCATCGTATACATACATTGACATTATAAACAACTTTACAAATAAGTTCTTTTTAACGACAAGTCTAAGTGACAGACGGATAGTAGTAGCCATTTAATAAACCCATTGATTTGACAGTTAAAGTAAGTAATATGGCAGATATTTTTAGTGTATTTTTTATTTAAATTAGTCAGCTTTTCTTCATTGATGAAAATTCGCGCGATCTAAAACGCCGCGCTGTCTCTGTAATTTGGTAGTTTGTATTATATAATTGCATAAACATACAATGTCATTCTCTCGCATGCTTATGTGTTTCAGATCTGTATATAAACTTTGAAAATCTGTACTTACATAAGCGAACAAATTATTATTAATTCTTTTGTTATTTAAAGCTGAAGTAAGATACGGAAATATAAGTGATAAGGCAGTAATGAGCTGTTGATTCTTAAAACCTTCCTCTACATAATATGCTTATTTGGGACAATATGCTAATAACGTTCTAAACGCGAAATTACTGCGACGTTTACACTGTAATCAGAGTAATTGAGTTCATGTAGGTATGTAAAAGCATAGAAATTTTGCTATTCCGTAATGTAAGCGATACTGATACCTGCTTATTTTTAAAGTAAATAATGTTTACATGTACAATAATTAACAATAATGACTGAACATTTAAAATTAAAAATTTTAATTTTGAAGAGATAAAAGACCTAGATTTTCAAATTTTAATATTTCTTAAAAACACGACTATGCAATGTGGAAACAATTCGTATACATATATTACCTCATCAATCTCATTAAACTACTAATGATATTGGATATGTGTGTAGGCGGTAATATGCACGATTAAACACTGTTAAAAAATTTGGAACGAAATTTTTCAATGTCAACTTGTATTACTTTATAATTTATACATAGTGTATGTATGTGTATATTTAGTATGTGCTTAAGAGATGCGAATAATTTAAGATTTTAATAATTAAGTGAATGGATTTAAATGATTTTATTTTACTCTTAATTTAATATTCAAAAACATTAAAATTAAATGGTCATTAAAAGTTTTAAAACGCAAAATAAATTATAAAATATTGTGTTCCGTGAATAGTATGCAAAACAAAATTATTTTTAAATATTTTTCACTGTTAAAATGTTCAGATTTTCAAATGTTACTAACATTTATAGCAAATATAAACCAACGCTTTGACAAGAAAAATATTAAAATTTTTTTTTGTAGGGTGTTGCTTCTGTTTATGGCTACTGTGAACCTAAATCTCTCTTGTAAGAAAATTCCCT